TCCTCTACCAAAAGATAGGTCTTGGGATTGAATTTTCGAATATCGTTAAACCTGGCAAGCAGGATCAGTTGGAGGTATACACTGGCTTGGCTAGAGTCCAATCCGTTCGACAAGTACTTCACCTCGCTGAGTAGTGTGTCATCGTCCAAACTCAAATTCAAAGGAACCAGCTCGTTTTCTTTATTAGGCCTAATGTGCTGAACAGTACTCGTTGCTGAAGACGTCGAGCTCTTTATATCCAATGTCAGTTGGGCCACCTGTTTAGACTGAAACTTGGTCCGCAGGCCCAAAACACCTTTCGTCCGGATCTCGACGCCGCAAAGATTCAAGCTGCGAGATAATGCCTCAGAGGCTGATTTCTGATCGTACCAAAATGAGTACACGTAACTGAGTTCGGTCCAGAAGCACGATTGCAGCTCAGTCGGTAAACTCTGCAACAATTCGCATACACGCGACTCGTTCTCTAAAACTTCAAGGGTCGCTTTCCTTAAAGGAACCTTTACATCCTCAAATAACTTCTGCCAAATCCATAAAGTTCTGATTGCCCACCAAATGGAGGTGCGGAAACGGCTGCTCAATAGATTGAACTTGTCAACGAGGATCCATTTGGCGAACAGCAACAGGAAAGGCCTTCGACACAGATCGAACGCAGAGTCCGAGTCGCAGGAAAGGTCGCCATCGATGATCGATCGGTCGAACGCTTCATCGATGGAGAATGCCGGCAACCACGGCACATCTCCCACGGGGCCAACGAAATTCAAGCGAACGAAGCAGTCGAGGCAGCAGATACCACAGTGGAACCAGTCGAGCATAGGTTCGCCATTGGGGCCGTATTCGCCGCTGAGTCCTTCATCGACACCCCGACGCACTTGACCAACGTCCGTACACGATTGCAACCAGGAAAGAAGCGATGACGGAAAAGCACAAACAGCATTCCACAGAACATCGAGTTCTTGGTTGAGGGACATATCAACAAAAGACATTTTAGAGGGGTTTGTTTGACAGCTTTTTGCGCATTTCCTCGAATTCTGCCAACTTCTTCTCTCCCTTCTTTCGCTTTGCTTCGTTCAAGAATTCCAGAAAATCCGGATCGATAGGCGTAGGTGACTTTCGGCCACGTTCCTAAATTAAGCTAACTTAAAACTGAAAAAAATTATCAACGGATTGCAAGAGGGAACAGCTGGTACGGTCAAAACAATGAATACAAAGC